GCAAAATGTGTGACACCAACCACCACATGGGTAAAATGTGTGACACCAACCACCACATGGGCAAAATGTGTGACACCAACCACCACATGGGCAAAATGTGTGACACCAACGACCACATGGGCAAAATGCAACTTAATAATGATGCTTTTCCATCCAAGCTGCAAACATTTGTGCATAAGTTATGGGATCAATATCTTCGAATGATGGGTAGTCCATGGGCATCTCCTCTGCCACCAACGACTCTTCCCCGCTCCGACCGTGTTCCTCGACAACCCTCATCAGGGCATCAAATACGAAAGCATTACCCTCTTCAGAGAAATGGAGTCCATCGCACAAATACCTTTTCCAGTCGCCCCCTCCCTCCTGCATCATTTTCCACAGATCGATGACAGGAACGCCCATCTCCCGTCCAACTTGCACACACGCCTCCGCATAAAGTCCGACACTTTCGTTGCTTCTTCCACAGTCATCAAGATCGGTGCCAAGTTCCCGTCTGCAGTGGTTCAAGTGCGCTACCGAATCGACCGGGGGAGGTGCAATCAGTACAACGAATGTGGACTTTGACACTTTCTGCAAGTGCTGAACGATCGTAGACAGATTCTGTCTATACTCCTCGAGAGGGACATGGTGTTTAGCGGCAGCCCCATTCTCCACCACGGCATCGTTCGCTCCAAAGAACACAGTCACCATCTCACGTGGTTGTGGTGGTCCCAGCGGCGGCGGTGGTGAGCTTGTGTCCTTCTTTGGAAACAGCTTGTCCAGAAGGTGAAGCGCCCAGCAAGTGTTGTACCCACTATAGCCCCTGTTAACGACATCCGCTTTTCTGGCATATCGGTCAGCCAGGAGCGCTCCCCACCCCGTCCGCTGAAACGCCCATTCCGTGAGAGAGTCCCCAAACAGAATGATCTTGGGGCGGGGGAACGATATGATCCTCTTTGACATCTCCCTTGGATCCGCTGCTGCTGCTGACTCAGCCATCAACTCTCTCCACCGATTGATGACGAGGACCGATGGATGGATGGAAATCACGACCTCGTCTTCAGCAAGCAAGCAAGCAAGCAAGCAAGCAAGCAGGCAAGCAAGAAAACCAGCCTACAGGATCACCGACCTGCTAGAAGAGCACAGGGCAAGCAAGAAAACCAGCCTCCAGGATCACCGACCTGCTAGAAGAGCACAGGACAGACTGCAAAGGGACGAGAGCCTGTGAGAGTACTCAAAAAAAAAAAAAAAAAAAAAAAAAAAAACTTTGGCATCAAACAGCAGTTCATTTCCGCTACTGCGGTAGCAAATCAACAATCAGCCTATGTGTTTATTATTGATATGTAAACGAAGTCGATGTTAACTTGTTTTTTTTTTTTTTTTTTTAATTTGGACCATTTCTCGATTAATGCGTGTCATCCTTGCGCATGGGCCATGCTAATCTTCTCTGTATCGTTCCAATTTTAACGGATGTCCCGAAGGACTTGTTAACTTGTATTTGGTCCACTGAAGATTGAAAAACACTCCCACGTAGATGAGTCAAACATGAAATTAAATTTGGAATTTTTCAAAAAAAATTGAAAAAAAAAACTCATTGCTTCGCACCTTTCTTTTGTTTATCAATCAAATCAAATCAAATCAAAGGCTAAGTAACATAAAGATAATGTTACAAGTGAAGTACCAAACCGAGAATTAGCATATGTTTTCACCGATAGTGAAAACCGAAATTGATTTCTTTTTCATTATGCATTAAAAATAAAAAAATAGGGGAAAACTACGTGCGGTAGCAAACCGACAATTAGCGTATGTTTACTGATATTTCAACGAAATTGATTTCATTTTTCATTATGTATGACGTGGGCAATACCTGTTTTGGTTTGCTCGGTTTTGCAGGCCTTGGAGGCATTCTCTCAGGGAGAGAGACAGCAGGACAGAGGCCGCCCGTTTGGACAGGGCCAGGGCTGGAGCTGGGCATCAAAAACTTTTTTTTCCCCCCCTCTGAAGCTTAGAACCCATTTTCCGGCAGGTGATGCTCCCTACCAAAAAAAAAAAAAAAAAAAAAAAAGATGCTCCCCACCAATAGATGGAGACTCTCCCCAGG